GATGATGCTTTTAATAGAATTAACTAGTATCAGATAAAAATCATTCATTTTCCCTGAACTTACACTGTTTGATTACAGACATGGATCAACAGTTTCATTTCAACTTATATCACTCAGTTTAGATGAGTTACAATATATTTGAACTGCAATCAGCGTATCACTTCTCAATAGATTATCGATACATTTTACTAAGGAGATTTAACGAACAGGTAATCTAGAATTAAAGATATTTATCAATTATATCCAAAGCTCTACAACTAAATATACAAATAATAACTTCAACAGACAGATTGGATTTTGTCAATATCATCCAATGCAATAGTACAATCGCATTTAAATCTTGTTGGTGTACATAAACATATGATTGTAAAGATGCAGAGAACGATATCGCCGAAAATGAATTTATATCCTGAAGTCTTTATTCTTTTATGAGTGAATAAGAATATTTAAACCCTATTATTATTATTATTTCAAGTTGTATAAACCAGTGGTTTTTATGATTTCAAAGATTATTCTCAACTGTTTCCAACTTGAGCAATATCAACTTGTATACTTTACAAGGTAACATTGATGCTAAGCATATTGATTATACTTTCATTGTTTGCAATGATCCTATTGGTGCATCTCATACTAAATCATCTCAATGATATTCTTCTGAATATAAAATTTTCAATGAAGTTACAGCTTAACAATAATTCTAATTTCATAGGAAAACTCAAAGATGCATTAATAGAAAGGAGATATGGAGTGAGTTTTACTGGAATTTCAAAAGCTTTTGTCTTCTCGACTACTCATAGGGGTTAGGGTTAGAATGTTATTCAAACTTATACTCAGAAAAAAACTTGCATAGGAGTTATCTATTTCTGGGATATGTTTGCATGATAATGATTATCCAAAGAGGTTTACTGAAAAGTATGAAAAGAATGGAGTGCTATACAACAGAGAAAAAGCCTATGGTTTTATAACTTGTGTCTAATTATGGTAAAATTGTTGATAGGATCAAGCATCAACTGAATGCTATACTGAGACGAAAGCCCCCAACTGCCGACTTGATATGTTTATATCAGAAAAGTAGTTCGTTGTGGTAATCAAAAGTGGACAAATCTCTATCTCAAATTGATTTCAACTGTATCTATCAGTTTATATATATACACGCCAAGAGACACATGTATTGAAAGAATAGAAAGGATAGTTTTCGTTCTCACTTCTGAGAGAATTACAAGGAATCAAAGATTATCGAAACAAACTCAGTTGATCATACAAAAAAAATACAAGACGACTTTAGTGAAGAAAATATTTTCTTTTCGAAGAAATCATTCTCTTAGCTGTACATTCATGAATATATACATAGTAGAAAAGGACGGAATATTCCACAGTAATTTCCGGCCAAAAGTTAATATAAATTGTATAACAAAGGAAAGTCATACAATGTCTAGCTAGAAACGTTTAAATTAGGGAAATAAACAAGACGACTACAAAATAGAAAAATAGTTACATCATAAGAGATCAATTCTCTATAAGAGAACTACAGCAAAAAAAGAGATTGTATACACTTCTTCTGAACGCATAATGATGACTTAGACTTTCAAACTGTAATCTATCAGATATGCCAAGATTTCTTAACTTCACTTATTTTAAAGTCACTTGATTCCACTTTGTACAATACTTTGAAGGAATTATCCAAAGAAGTCAAGTGTCTAGAGTTTATTCAGTGTTCCGTTAAGGAGCTGAAGATTTATTTCCATCCTCCTCTTGTCAGCAAAGTTTTAAAGTGTTTGCAATCACGTTACACAAGCTAATACAACAGATATACTAGCCTACATAAGAGAAAGAAAACTGACAAGAGAATATGATTCTAAGATTGACGGCAAAGAATGTCCTCATTGTGGAGCGTGATAGTCTTTTTCTACAGATTTCTGTCGTCTCATCTAAGATTCGGTGCCAAAATCCTCTGAGTTCACGAGGTTGATATTTGGCACGTTATTACAGTCTAAATTTGTTTAAAGTGATCAACAAATAAAGCAACTCAAGCCCATTATTGTTTTCCTAAGTAATAGGTATCGACAGAATTAAACCAAATCTACGTATTCAGTAGGATCCACTTGTCAAATTAGTGCTATTGTGGTAATTAATATATACTAAAATGTACGCAACACCATAATACATAGATCAATCTTCCACAATTTTTGCTGTTTCAAACCTAACTTATTACTCAAAGTCTAATCACCCTATTCTTGAATCTAGTGGAAATTCAGAACGCTTTCAAGTATTTCAATCTATGATAATTATATTCCATCTTTCTCCTACACTTCTCCTTCATGAATCTCATAAATAGTCAATCTTCCTCTCATATTTCAAAACATCTCCCCTGCTTCAATGATTTAGCTTGTCTACATTGATGGTTGATTTTGTCAATTGGATAAAAATATCTTCCCTTTTTACAACATCTACATTTCTATAATATTTCGGTTGTAAGCAGTGGAGAAACATCCTCGAAATAATAATAATAATAATAAATAACCTAAATTAGCTCATACTATCCTACTACATTTACTGTTTCTGTTCTCATCAAGTTTATCAATCGGAAGAATTGTTGGAAATATAGATTTACCTTGATACTTAGAACTACACAAAATAAAACTGATTACTTTTGAGTAACTGAGTGGTGAGCATACTTTTCGTTTGGGGGGGGGGGGGTTGGAGTTGAAAAACTTTAAACACAATAAAGATGAAAGAATATCCTCACAGATTAATCAGTCTACTTTACGCTAAACAACATCAGATACTTCAGGTCACAAACAAAGCTGATTACAGTGATAATGATAATAACATATTCGCTCGATTCAATACTATCATTATGCTTACAGTATAGAATTATTGGCGTGTCGTATTACACCAATCTAACCATCGTACAACATTCTTAAGACATTAACATTGTTTCTCTTTAGCAATATATGACATAGAATAACAGGATTATTGAAATATTTAACAAGTTCACGGTCATCGTTCATTGAATGATAAGATTATGCTTTAGTAAGATATTCTTCAGATAAACACACAAGCTGAGTGCGAAGGCATCGCTGAATATTTCTACATAGTTGTACGCTCATACAGTTCAACATACTCTACTTCTTGTTTTCTCAGATGACAGACATGAAGAGAGGTGCGCATACCGAAGATGCTTACCGACAGAAATTAAAGAAAACTTTTTATCCAGAGCGTTCAACAACAGTTCACATGCTATCCATCACCCCATTTACCAGCGCCATCAATGGTGTACCACTTCCTCTACTAACAGCTTTCAAAATCATACGCAATACATTGTAATCTTTTTTCCACAGTCCATGAAACAATAAACGGGAACAATAAGTATAGGTAGAACAGAGACATTAATGAAACGAAAGAGTAGAGCCTGAGTTATGCCAGACAGTTTGATTTTCCTAATATAAAAGACCAAGTAAAGGATTTTCCAAGAAATCAGTAAGATATCTGAGGACTAAGAAAGATCAGAAGAGAAGCAGAGGCTAAAATAGACCACACCTGCAATATTCTGTATAACAGTCATAGTCATAGGTTTGAACAAATGTTGAATGATCTTTTTTTATCTTAAGCTAATTTTAATTATCTCACATTCTGAGGGAATCAGTGTGAGACCATTTAACAAATACCAGTAACCAATTTGTTTTAAGTTGTTAAACTCAGAACAATCGGAAGAGGAGATGATCGGCATAGATACTGTCAGGTTATCGGCATACTTAACAAATTTAGCTTTAAATGAGACTGGTAGTCATGCAAAATAAAGAGAAAAAGAAAAGGAAAAAGAACAGCACCTTGAGGTATCCTGGCTTCACTAAGAAGCGAAGCACAACGTTCCTTTTCATATAGAGTGTACTGTCTTGTGTCAGAAAAACATGAATCAAGCTAGATTACAATCCAGACTCAATGTGAGTATTGACAATCTTGTCTAACGGGGGGGGTGTAGGGGACAGAATCAAAGTCAGAAGCATAATCTAAGAGGGTAGATCTAACATACTTATCACCTTTGTCCAGACTGGCAATTATATTATGAATTAAAACAACTGAAGCATCTAAAGTACTCACTCTTTCTATGTTTGTAGGCAAATTAATTTGATTCTTATGAAAATAAGATTGTAATTAAGTAATGCAGGTTCAATCTATGACATAGTAGAAAAATGAATAGGTATATATGTAGCAGATAAGGCTTTATAATGGCCATGGCAAAGATAAAGGTTGGATGTACCTTTTTCGCATGCATAACGCTGGTTTGAAGTTCTGGATGGTTAATGCTTTAGCTATAGGCAGATGCTTTGATATTACTCCCTTTGAGTGGTTTGATCTAACCGTGTAGAGAATTTTGAATGACCTCTCGAAAGGAGCTAAATGGCCTGAGTTCACGAGGTGTTCTGTTATCGAACTGAAGATGCATTTCCGTTCTCCTTTGAAAGCCAGGCTGGGTAGTGTTCGTGAACTCAGATCACTTAGCTCTTTTCGTGAGCTCATTCAAAATTCTCTACACGGTTAGATCAAATAACTCGAAAGGAGTAGAATCAAAGCATCTGTCTATAGCTAAAGCACTAACCATCCAGAACTTCAAACCAGCGTTATGCATGCAGAAAAAGGTACGTTCAACCTTTATCTTTGCAATGGCCATCATAAAGTCTTGTTTGTCATATGTATACCTTACTCATATTTCTACTATGTCATGGACTGAACCTGCATTACGTAATTACAATCTTATTCTCATAATACCCTGTTGATTTGGATCTTTAAAAGCCACTAAATGGAGGTTCAAGCGCATAAAGCAACACTTCTTCCATCGGACTGCTTAAATATTGAGCTACCAAATCTGTCCATTCTAAAAATTTCTTTGAATGAACAAATTTATGAATCGATAATAAGGTATGTTTTTTCTTGTCCTTTCAAGGTTAGACCTTTACAAATACTCAAAGATGTAAACTGGACGACAAATCCCACAGAATATAACCAAAATCATATATTTATTTGAACAGTATTAAAATATGCCTTTCAAGGTAAAATATTATAAGAAAAATAGACAGAGATGTGAAAGTAAAGTATAGATAATAACTGTTACATGATAATATACTAAAATAAACCATCTTTGTGGGATTATAGTTCAAAAAACAATGAAAAAAAGTAGGGGGGGGGATAATGAAATAGTTCTATCCAATATATGCCTGTGTTTATATATAATCTCTGTTTAACAAATAATGAGAAAACAATTGTCAGATTTTAAGGTATAAGATATATTTTAAGAAGTTTTTAATCACTAAAAGGTTAAGAAATTACCTTATGATTTGCATGGTTGATTCGAATGGATAGTAATACTTGACAAATACTTACTTATAAAACGATAAGCATAACGTGGTGACAACCTAGATAGAGTATAAAAAAAAAACTCATATTGATAAATAGTCTTTTATTCAAAAGGATTTAAATGTTTATCAAGGTATGTTGTTATGATTGTAACCAATAGAAATTCTAGTCAAAACATCAACACCTGTAAAGTAATACCACTTCTATTTAAGGTAAGTGTAAAGAAAAACTATCGAATTCTGTTCTCATAATACCGACCAAGATGTTGTTATGAGTAAGGTAACACTTGACAGTGTTGTTGCTTGTATTTCTCATTGTTGATTAGGCACGAATTGATAGGTCTCTGTGAGGATTGAGGAGATGGTCATAAGCTGACTGGACCGATGAAAACACCCCAGAAGAGCTGAATTTCGCCAATGATGATTTATGTCTAGTGTCTTATGTCGTACAAACTCAAAGATCTACAGGCGAAAACTAACAAGTTGACAGAAGAAGCAGGGTAGCGAAGACGGGACTTCAAGTGAACATAGAGAAGACAGAGGTGATGAAGATACCCAACCAACAACAGCATTAACAACAAGCACCAATCACCTTTAACGGGAGAAACCTAAAGGAAGTAGTCTCTTTCACCTACCCAGGCAAGGCAGCATCGTTTCAACTACAGGCGGCACAGATGAGGATGTCAAAACCAGGATCGGAAAGAGCGCAAGATAGGTTTTCATTAGTTCGAAATCACTACGGAGATCCACTGCACTCAGCACAAAGAACAAGATCGGATTTTCAACATCAATGCCAAGTCAGTGCTTCTGTATAGTTAAGAAACATGGCGTGTCATGAAAAGCATTTCCAACAAACTACAGACATACATCATCAACAGCTACTGCCTACGCTGGCTCGATACTGAAGATGAGATAGCCAAAATAATAAGAATAAGCAATAAAGAACTACGCATACTACTCATATTACCCATTTCCCCTCTTTGTGGTAACTTTAAGAAATATGTTTTTTCTTCGAGACCGAGGAAACCATAGGCTTTGGGGTCAACTGTTTTTTATAATGGTTGAAAAACTGTAATGGATAACCGTTTTCCATTAGAAATTTATTCTCATCATCCATTGTATCAGATGTACAGATACGTTGGATTTTATTGAAGCAGCATGTTACTAAGCCTCTCTTATGTTTCATTGGACAATGTATGTGTAGGCATACATACATAGGGAGGAGTAATCGTTCAGTGGAGACTAGGATGGGTGAATATATACCCAAATGGCTTGAAAAGCAATTCATCACACACAAACATTCATAAGTGAAGGTGACAGACATCCATCGTCATCTATAGCAAAACGTTTTCATTGAAATGAATCACAAGGTTAATAGGAAAACAGCCTTCAAGATACAAGATATACAGGAATAATCAGGGGCGTATACTGAAGTCTGCCGAAGAGTTAGCCATTCCTAAACATAAGCAACTGCTGTGCATACAAAACCAATTTGTTGTTTCACTTAATTTACCTTGATAATCCTTCGTAATCTGATTATATTACCAAGACTAGTGTAACAACCTTTTCATTCTCATTATAGTTGACTTTTCATTCCCCCTTCGTTTTCATATATAAATTGACTTGAGATAAGTAAAATTGTGGGGGATGGAATTGTTCGAAATGTATAATATATTGTGTAAATACACATCACATATGGTTGTTCAGATAATCTTCATCTTTTAATAGCATTATCGAAATCACTGAACTCTTCAAATCTCTACAAAATTTATACTATCTAACAACATCTACAATTTATAACATTTCACTTACAATTTTAGAATTCCAAAGAGACGTAAACAACTAGGAATGTAAATAACTCGTTCATTTTTCAAAACTCCATCAACAATTCTTTTTGCACATGAAACAGTATCAATGACAGGAAGTACAGCGGATCGTCTACATAAAAAAAATCAACCGAAAAACATTAATAATACTCAATAAAAAATACTGACAAACTATAGAAAAAGATTCCATTTTAGTCTGTTTATTATAAATATCGCATCGTGAAGGGATGATATCATTTACTGGATAACAACGTTTCAGACACAATTCATTGTCCATATTCATATCAGGAATCTAACTGCACAACTTCGAGACAGACTTTATATATATATTCCTAATTTTCTCTCCTTCTCTGTGATGACAAGGGTAGTAGAATCTCCCATATATCTGGGACAGGTCCACAATCATTTCCATTACTGTATGTATTTGGTGTTGATTCAATCAACAAAGATTCAGTCGGTTATCGATGTCTCACTCCCTGCATCCAACTAACTTACTGTTCAACACTGTCACCCTATCCCACCCTACTGTGTGATTCTGTGTCATTGCATGCAGAACTACACCAGAGCTTTCCTCTAGATTTCCTATCTTATTAGGATCTACTAATCTTGATTTAGCTAAGTATTTGTGTTCTGTTATTTTAATCGACCCTGGCTAGTCGACTGATTTGACCGATGTACTTCACCTGACAATCATTGTAAGGGATCTGGTAAACCAGATTAGTTTGCTTAATTGCATCGACAGGATCTTATAAACCTACAAAGCTTGTTTCTAAGTGAGTTTGTTGGTTTGAATGCCACTTTAATCCCAGCCTTATCAAGAATTCTTCGTAATGCTTCTCAGGTGCCTTCCAACAACAACCAACAAACTCACTTAGAAACAAGCTTTTTAGGTTTATAAGATCCTGTCGATGCAATTAAGCAAAATAATCTGGTTTACCAGATCCCTTACAATGATTGCGAGGTTAAGTACATCGGTCAAATCAGTCGACTAGCCAGGGTCGATTAGAATAACAGAACACAAATACTTAGCTAAATCAAGATTAGTAGATCCTAATAAGATAGGAAATCTAGAGGAAAGCTCTGGTGTAGTTCTGCATGCAATGACACAGAATCACACAGTAGGGTGGGATAGGGTGACAGTGTTGAACAGTAAGTTAGTTGGATGCAGGGAGTGAGACATCGATAACCGACTGAATCTTTGTTGATTGAATCAACACCAAATACATACAGTAATGGAAATGATTGTGGACCTGTCCCAGATATATGGGAGATTCTACTACCCTTGTCATCACAGAGAAGGAGAGAAAATTAGGAATATATATATAAAGTCTGTCTCGAAGTTGTGCAGTTAGATTCCTGATATGAATATGGACAATGAATTGTGTCTGAAACGTTGTTATCCAGTAAATGATATCATCCCTTCACGATGCGATATTTATAATAAACAGACTAAAATGGAATTACAATCGACCACGGTGCCCAAGTTTTACTCCTATATTATAGAAGAAGATAATACAAGTAGATTAAAACTTGTGAAAAACACATATGAGTCGATTATATGTTCAACTATCACTGATTGTATTGTATAAAATATGAGTTGTGATGCTAACACATAAGTGAAGAATTTGAAGTAGAAGAAGAAAGTATATTTTGTATATTTTCGTCAACACAAATGGTTGGGACTTAGTATTACTCATATCCACTAAGTATTTGTTTAATCTAGTCCATTAAAAGGTTAGAGGTGACCACAGTAGGATATATAACACCAGACTATCTACCTTAACCGCTTAGGTATTTGTAGACCGACTGATTTCAGGTCCACGTGACAACCTGAATCCATTTCCACAGTGTAGATGCATTCACACCTACGTCATTTCGTTTTATTCATTATACCGAATTGTAATTTCATTTGATTTCTTCTTGTATTCTTTAGACCACTTCCTACCACATTGGTTATTTATTTCCTTATTTTTCTATGTTTCGTCCCTTATATGCTAACTTTATATGCTGATAAGGTATAGTAGGTCAAACAGTTACACAATAGTATCAGAACCTACGTTTAATGCTAACTAACCGAATAATTGATTATGTTAGGTTATAAAATTTAGTTGAAATCAACTTGGACTTCATTTTATTTCCTTATTCAGATTTAGACAACTATGATTATATTTCATATGAAAAAATTCAACTATCAGAGGTTTTTTAATAGTTTCTCATAAGCTTCTGAATAAATAAAATACCATAAAAGTCAATATTTTTATTCTTATGATGAGTTATGAATTGAACATTTTGAATTTTTTCCTCAACTCTTCTGTATTCTTTGAAAACTATAATAGTAGCAAGTTTCCAGTATCAACTTTGTCTCAATCTGCTTCTATAGAATTCTGTCATAGATGTGTTGGCTGAATAGATTATTGACTGAGATGAGAAATACTGACTAGGTAGACAATGTAAATAAGAACAAGTGATAGTAATCCATCATGAATTCACATGGTGGTCGAGCAAGACACCAATACTGATTGAAGTGAAATAAAAAATCTGGTCATCATTCGTACCTGATAGCTTAGGTGAACCCGGTGGTTCCTGGTTCGAATTCGGTCGAAATTTTCATTTCAACCTTAATCATCATGTAGTATCACAGTACTACTCTCCCAAACCACGGCTATCTTAGATAGTCAAAATGATAATGAATATAACATTATATAAACTAAATATGATTATACATTTTTAGGAATTTCGTCTCTGAATGACATTTTATATTCTATAGAAAACTTGGTATTCCATCTTTATAGTACCTCTCTAATCTTATCCAAGTTGTGTCTGCTACTACTGAGTTCAGTCTTGTTCAAGGTTCTTCTAAAGTTATGTTAGTTATTATTATTATTTGTCCCTTGGGTTCCTAGTGGAACATAGGACTTCAGTAGCACGTCTCTATTCCACTCTCTTCTCTCCAGTCTTCTTCACCCTGGTTCCACGACAGCCCACAAGCTCTCATTTCTCCCTCACACGATCTCCTCCATGTCACCCTCACCTCGGAAGCCCAACTCGGTGCTTTCCATCTAGGTCCAACTCGAGTGCCTGGCCTGGTGCGTGATGTCCCCAGTCGGTCTTCTCAGTGTATGCTCATCCCAATCCATCTCCACTTCCTTCTGCATATTTGTTCAGCGATAGGTTGTTGCTTTGTTGGTTCGTTGCCCGTCAGCCACAGTTCCTTGTTGCTTATTCTTTCTGGCCTGCTCATCTGAGCTTCAGTAATGAGCCAGTGTAGGCAGCTGTTGATGAATATCTGTAGTTTGTTCGAAATCACTTTCGTGACACGCCAAGTCTCTGAACCACACAGAAGCACTGACTTGACGTTGGTGTTGAAAATCCCGATCTTGTTCCACATGCTGAGTGCAGAAGATGTCCACATTGGTTTCAGGCTAACGAACGCCTGTCTTGCCGTCTTTCCGATCCTGGCTGGCTTTGACGTCCTCGTCTGTGCTGCCTGTAGTTGAAACGGAGCTGCCTAGATAGGGGAAGGAGGCTACTTCCTTTAACTTTCTCCCGTTGGTGGTGATTGCAGCTTGTTGTTGTCGTTGGTTGGATATCTTCATCACCTCCGTCTTATCTATGCTCACTTGAAGTTTCGTCTTCGCTGCCTCGCCTCTTCTGTCAGCTTGTTAGTTTTCGCCTGTAGATCTTCAAGTTTGTTTGACATTAGACATAAGTCATCACTGGTGAAATCCAAATCTTCTAGGCTCCTTTCATCGGTCCAGTGTATCCATCTCTTCTCGCCCCTCACTGTTTGTTGCACGATTTAGTAGACCACAATCAGGAAGATCACTGGTGATAGTAGGCAGCCTTGTCTTATTCCTTCCTGTCTTCACTTCAAAGGCATCACTGAGCTTCCCATAGTGTTGTGAATTACTTGGCATGTGGCGTCTTCATATAGCTAGCTGTTGAATGAGATTGATAAAGGTTTGTGGTATTCCGTAATCTTAAAGCAATTGCCAAATTACTTGTCGGTTGACGCTGTCAAAGGCCTTTTCAAAGTCGATGAAGTTAAGGTAGAGGGTTGAAGTTACGTTAGTTGGTTAGGGTCAATCGCCAAGAAGCCTGGAATCCAGGAAGCAGCATCTATGAACTCATGAGAACTGATGTCCCTTCAAAGGTTTCTACCAACATCATCCAATTTTGCAATCGAAGACGTTACTCGTGCAATATTTGGGCAATGATTGACCTCCTGTAACACTGAGCTGCTCCGATTGTCTAGTCCTAGGTACTGGAAAGATTTCATAGACCATTTCACAGTGTGGTTACTAAGCTAGAAGACTGACAGTTGTGGTGATATTTCCAAACGAAATAGTATACATGAGGCCTTATTCCACTGGGAAACAAGCAGCGTAGATACCTGAAAACCCTATCCAACACCAAAAACTTTTTACACCATAACACCGCCATACACTTTTGTCGACTGAACATTTGAAATAGAGGATCATAGATAAGTCTCTTGAGATGCTAACTATTACTTTTCTATTGTCAAACATTTGAACTAAATAAAACAAAATCTTTAGATCGAATATCTGTGCGGTTGTCTTCAGTACTAATACATTTTATAGTATTTCAAGCAAGAAGTGCTTAACTGTGAAATAGTTTATACTACTAATAATCGTATCCAGTCACAAAAATAGTGGGTCACTGAAGCTGAAATCCAAGTATGATATGATATTTACGCTTTATACAACCTCTTTTAAGGGTTTGAATGTGTATATTAGTTGAATAACAAAAAAGTGTAATTTTTCAACGTTGAAACCAATTTTCCAAATCAGAACATCATCGATAATTCATATTGCACCAATCGCCACCTTATATATCTTTACAGTGACTTGATAAAGCCTGAATATAAATGTAAATGTGGACGTGTGAATACAATCACCTTCAGATTCCAACATTAATCATCACTCACTTTCTTAACAAATGGATGGATAAGATGGTTCGATAACAGAAAGGTGTATTTAAAACGTCAATATATACAAAATTACAAGGTTTATATATATGACAATGTACTTGGCTATTTCCAGGCACATTAGATTTAAATTACATTGGTTTTTTCATCTCTTCAACTAAACTGATATTTATACTTTGATTCACGTGTTTTTCACAAAACTTCGAAGTAAAGTGGTTGGTTGTAAAAGGCTTTAATGGTTTACGGGTAGTTACAAAGATTTTGGTAAACTTATTCAACACCATAATAGTTGCAATATATTGCTGTAATTAGTTGTTAGATTTAGTATAAAATAGAAACCAGTAGCTATTCTGAATCAGATTTATGATAATAAAACGAGAACTACTTGAGATACATGTGTAAGCGAAGACCTGCTTCACTTTTACAACACGATGACTAGTTTACATGTTAACTTCAAACTCACAGGGAAATATCCTCTACAATACGTATCGGCAGTGACAATGAATGTGATCTCAAGCCAATTAAACAATAATGTGGATGTATTTTTGAGATGAATGAGGATTTTTTGATTTAGAAGTAGTATTCATCACGGACTGACATCAGTTGGGGGACCATTGAAAATCTGGGAGCACTGGACAGCTGTTTCATCAGACTAGTATGGGACTCCTCAGCAGTACGCACCCACGACCCGGCAACGGATCAAACTCACGACCTTCAGGTTTCACGGGGAACGTGTTAGCCATTCAGCCACTGGGTCGGTTTCCACTGGTTCACAATTTCCAACTTCTGCCAATTCACTACATAGCGCGACTGTCACCCACGGTCTTCCCCTTCAGTTAGCATCCACTTCACTTCGGACCGGTTGACCACACAGGTCACGGCTTCTCATCAGAACTTGCTGACATCCATCTGGAAGCAAGTCACTAATGAGCAGAGCAGTAGAGAGTAATATATTTTTGAGATGAATGGGGATCTTTTGATTTAGAAGTAGTATTCATCATGGACTGACATCAGTTGGGGGACCATTGAAAATCTGGGAGCACTGGACAGCTGTTTCATCAGACTAGTATGGGACTCCTCAGCAGTACGCACCCACAACCTGGCTAGGGATGCAACTCAGGAGCTTCAGGTTTCATGGCGAACACGTTAACCATTCAGATGGATATCACGAAACTCTAATGAGAAGCCGTGACCTGTGGAGTCAACCAGTCGTAAGTGAAGCGGATACTAACTGAAGGAAGACCTTGGGTGACAGTCACGCTATGTAGTGAATTGGCAGAAGTTGGAAATTGTGAACCAGTGGAAACCGACCCAGTGGCTGAATGGTTAACGCGTTTCCCGTGAAACCTGAAGGTCATGAGTTCTGTCCGTTGCCGGGTCGTGGGTGCGTACTGCTGAGGAGTCGCATACTAGGATGAAAAAGCTGTTCAGTGCTCCCAGATTTTCAATGGGTCCCCAATTGCTGTCAGTCCATGATGAATACTAGCTCTAAATAATATGAATATTATAACAGTCGCCTAGAAAATAATAAAAAAAATAATCATAGACTCACGTTCCACTGACTCCACATATCATATTTGTATTAATCAAAAAAGGTAATACTCTTGTAATACAAATTTGATCTGTAATACCAATACTGTCAAGTTCTTGTTCTAATGACTCCATTAATAATAAGATAGCAGATTTAGATGCACCATACATATGAAAACGACGAAAACACATTACACCACTAATTGAAGCTAAACAAACAATATGACCTTGAGGATCTGTTAAAGATTGTGAATTATACACTTTTCCAAGCATAAATGGTAAAAATGCTTTAGTAAGCTGTTAAATGGATAATAATAATAATAAATTTATAAATACAAATTAATTAATTATTTCTTATTATTTTTTTATAGGTAATGAAAATGATATTATGGATTACAATTTATTCAAATATCTGTTGACTAAATGAACAACCCCAACCAAATTATTAATATGAAAATCATGAAGTGTTAAATATCTTCTTCTTCTTCTAGCTGTACATCTTAACAAGTATGAAATAAACAAGATCCAGGAAGCGCGTATCATCCTACTTCCTACTCGTCAGCTAGATGTGCCTGCACCCTAGTGGTGTTGTTCTCATTGAAACTTGAACCTTGCACCCATCGCTTCAAACACCAAGGCGTTATCCACTGTGTTACGGAGGAACGATAGCCACTTCTTGTACAATGTGTAGTAGTTATCACCATTTATTGACATACTTGTTATTTTCCGTTGTTTTGTTGGATCGAATTGTTCGACCTCTATTGGTACTTCCTGGATTCTTCTACTAGCCACAACCAACCAATTTATCATAATTAACATTCAGGCAATATTGAGGTATCCACATAGGAGCCCATATGCCAATAGAGATCGAACAATTCGATCCAACAAAAAAAATAACGGAGAATAACAAGTATGTCAATAAATAGGAATAAAAGATACTTGGTGGAATCAAACCATAGAAATGTTGGTTATATCTGTAATCAATGCAGTTTTGTTATCTTGATGAAAATTGATTAGAAAATGCCGTGTAACGAGAACACCCACCAAAAGAGTGGTGCTGAATGATCGTTATACAGCGCGACTATATCCTTTAGATTCATTAGACAAACCTGGAAATTCATGAAAAGCCTTCACAGTCAATCACAGCATACTGAATATTCGAGACAAAACTACATGATCATACCTATGAGACTCATACCGGTTAAATGGTTGTCTAAAGAAGTGCAATGCCTTCCAATGCCATCAATATATATATATATATATATATATATATATATATATATATACCTAGGTTTCGTGCCTTTTGGCACTCGTCAGCAAAGCGTATTTGCAATCTCCACGGAAATGATGTCCCGCCTGAGATTCAAACCCTCATCACCCAGTGTTGTAGTGAGCGACTTTATCACTGAGCTATTCGGGCCACGATTGACCTCCTGTAGGACTGGCTTATATGTATTGATTGGTCACAAGAGTGCAACCAATTTCATGTTGTCTAGTCCTGAGTGCAGACCGAATTCTATCTATCATATTTGCAATGTGGTAACCAAGGTAGGAAGCTCAGCATCGCAGGCTTCTTGTCAGTTGCCTCCAATCAACTAACATCTACTAATGTGCACCACGATGCTGAGCTTCCTACCTTAGTTGCCACATTGCAAATATGATCAATAGAATTCAGTCTGCATTCAGGGCTAGACAACATGAAACTGGTTGCACTCCCATGACCAATATATATATATATATATATATATATATATATATATATATATATATATATATATATATATATATATACCATTTTGTACATATTCGACTGAAGAATAAAATATTATCCTTTTTACCACTTCTTTTCCATTTTCGAGGTATCAAGCAATCATAAAGAATGAAGTCTAAGGTTATTGTTCAACAGTCCACTCCAATATATAATACAAGGATATATCACCTGGCGATGGGAATTATGACAAACATTTCTCTTGATTAAATCCAGTTACTCATGCAGCAACAAGATAAAAGAAGTGAACAGACAACTATGAGAGACATTGAGGCCCTTACTGAAAAGTTGAGTTCTACACGACTTGCACATCAACATCTATGTATGTAATTTGAATTATCTTTCATGGATTCACACTCATTTCTTCAATATAAGACTTGAATTCTAATTTACCTGCAGGGATTACATTTGAATCATAGTTGAAAAAGTGTGAAAGTTTGTTTCTTGTTCACCTTAAATTGTTTGATGATGTAGTGATGACTGGATCAAACATGCCTACATTGTCATTAAACAGTGTGAACGTTTTAAACTTTCATTGATGACAGAAGACAAACTTGAATATCCTGTTTTCGTTTTCAGTCTAAGATTCCCGGTAGATGCTGAGATACATGCCCAAACGTAACACTTCAGGAAACCATAGATGAGTGCCAGAAACTGATAAAATTGGAGTATGACTTAGCAATTGTTGTAAATGCAAATTATTCAACGACTATTAACAAAGTCGGTTAGAAAAGGTGTATAGCTACTAACAATACAAAAAGTAAGAACAGTAGAACAAAACTACTTTCAGCATGTTGGCATAGTGGTGGTTGGCAATTTATGAAATTTTGCCCGTTAAATAATCACTGATGCATGAAGTATCCTCGACAAGGTTATACAGAGGACTATTGCAAAGTTAAACGCTGTAATCACCCACAGCTATACTCAAAAGCGCATTAGCATAAAAAGATCCTTATCAAATGTAGTCATAGCACTACAAAGAAGTGGATCAGCGTTGCGAAGAAAATATATATATATACAGAAAAAATCAACAGACAGTAAGTTCGTTCACACCTTGATATAGCTTCAGACATAACACCTATCAACAGGCAAACATGGTAGTGAATAGGTCTAACGAAAATTCACCCAACTACTCAAGTCACTAGCAGTGAACTAAATGGTTAGCTACATATTATTGTAATGTAAGGGTATATCATTGACATATGCTTTCGAATTATCATCCAAAGTTACACATAACTAGGCTTCCCGGTTTTCAACATTTAAAGATGCAAAAATCCTTCATTCCCTTCAGATATTCAGTCATGCATATGGCAGTGCATAAGTCACTCAAACTACAGAACGTTAACTTAATAATTTAATCGACGCAAATTGATATGCTACATAAATTATCATGAAACTGAAAGAAATTTAACAAGGTTCACACTAAACCTTTGGTACCAATGTAGACAACCAGCAACTACTGGTCCTTGCCATATCGAGCATTCTGAATTCCTCAAGATGTTATGGATAAGTGTTTGCGGATCCCGAAACGACTCTGAGTTCACAAACGTTTTATTAACTTTCCTATTGGTGAACCCTTTTTTTTTGCATTTTTCCACTCATTTCTTCTTGTAATCTTTCTAGTTTTATTCACTTTTTATTCGTTCTTTTTAGATAAATTACAGAAAGTAAGTGAATAGACTTTTTGTATAATGTGATTTCATACTTATGTTTATTCATCTATATTTATGACTTGATGCTTTCTAATAAAAATTCTGTTGATCTCCTTACAGTCAGAGAAAGTTGAGTTAAGTCTAAAGATGATAGGAAACCTGTAGATGTTATTTTCATAGGCTTTAGTAAGGTGTTCGACAAGGTACAGCATTCCAGGTTGCTCGAGAAACTGGAAAGTTTCGGAATCACCGACAGTCTGCTTGCCTGGATAAAAGTTTTTTGTTGGTAGGAGAGAAAAAGTAAGGATCTATTCCCAACTCTCCTCTTGGAAGTTGATAGACAGTAGAGTGCCGCAAGGCACAGTCCTGAGTCCCCTTCTGTTTCTCCTATATGTAAGTGAACTGCCAAATATGGCTAAATTCTGTATGGTTCTTTAAGTTGATGATTTAAAAATCTTGCCGGAAATCAGGAACGACAAGGATATACGTGCATTTCAGGCAGACGTAAACCTTGTTTACCTTGTCAGAGAAGTGGCTGATGCCTATCAACGCAGATAAGTGTGAAAGCATGCAATCGGGCCACACACATACACAGCAACACCTACGATATTGATAGAACTACTCTGTTGTCAATACTGACTCAAAATGACCTTGGAGTCACAGTGAGTTATGATTTGAAAATCACGGTACACTGTCAATTGGTATCAGCTCGGAGTTTTAGGACAGTTTGAGCATTATGTAGAATGTTTATAAAAATAAATGGTGATACGTTCACCATCTTATACACATTCTTGCTTAAGTCTAAATCAGAAAAACTGTACACAGGCGGTAAATCACTGTCTGAAAGGTGACACAGACCTTCTAGAAAAAGTTCGGAGGGCAGCCACTCGTACGATCTCTGCGATGGCTGGCCTCACCTATGGAGATCGACTTAAGGAGCTGAACCTCTTCTCTTTATCCTATCGCAGATAGAGGCGGGATCTAACCATGCTACACAGGATTCTACAGAATGATTTAGGACCCGATCTGTCTTCTCTTTCCCTTCCCTTTAGGTCGGAACACCTCAGATGACATAGTAGGAGACTACAAAAGCAAAGAAAAAACATAGTCTCCATAGAGTACTGGTTCTAGCATCAACTAATCAACTCCTGAAACCAACTCCCAGAAGAAGTGGTGTCCTCATCATCAATTGGCTTGTTCAAAAGAGGACTGGACAAGCACATAAATCTACTGGAAAAGGATTAATATAGGCTCACAGCCTTCTATCCTCAAACAACAAATCTTAATCTGAATCACAGTTAAGTAGTTGGAAAATAACTGAGTGTCGACTGTCAAGTTTGTAAACAGTTTTTTCAGATGATCAATCGATTTGAGTAAACCTCCTAATTTATGATTTCTAATGCAAAATATTTATACTCTGATGAGAAAGTTTAATAAATAGTGTATGAAACTGTCAAATGTTATCCACTTGATTAAGGATATGACTTACTTGATACTGAGCAAGTGTATTTACTTTGAGTACATCTTCAAAATCCTCCCGACTACTTTGTAAAAATTCTTCAACTTTTGCAATACCAGCATTATTCACTAACACTGTAACCTTATTGAAATCATTCAATATCAGTTGGATAGTTTCATCAATAGCTTGTTCATTTCTTAAGTACAAGAAAATAGATTTACTTAGAAATTAATGTGAACTTACTTTAGATCACATTTATAAGTTTTGATTAGACAACCAGTACTAGTGAGTACTAATTCAGCAGTTTCTTTCAAACCATTCTCATCTACATCTAATGCTAATATAGTTGGACAGTATTTTGAAAACTCTACACATAATGAACGACCTAAACCATTGCCAGCACCTATGTACAAATATTATTAAAATTAATTGAAAAAAAATTTTTACCAGTTATAAGAACTACATCATCACTTAGACTCTTATAGATAGGAAATAAATATAGACGAATATTGTGAATTAAATTAAGGAAACAGTAGACAATAACTCCAACAGTTAAACTGGTAATCTCTTTTAAGTACGTCAAAATAGAAGACATAATTATATCTGAAATATAAGAAACAATGCTTCTATGTAAATTAACTAATGTATTAGGTAAAAGTTTGTTTCTAAGTGTATTAAACATAGATATTAAGAGGCAATTTTAATTTATAAGAAATATTCAGAGAAATTTAGGACAGAAATTGAAGAAGAATGTAGGCTTCCCCATTTTCTAAATTGTTAACTACAGAAATTGAGAAAGAGAGGCAAAAGTTTATCTCAACGATGGGCGTATTTTTCTCTCATATTTTCCCATCTGTGTTTACATCCAGTACTCTTTATGGCTTTTCAAATGTTCATTTTCTTCCTCGATACTGCTATAAATAATGGCTAAAACTAGTTGTTTACTGAATTATGCTTAATTCGATATGTTTAATCGAGATAGTGTAATTAGAATATGAAATTTATTTAGAAAATGTGATGTATAGTAAACCAAAGATTGGGAGGACAAATGCAACAATAAAGATAATAGGAGATTGAAATTAAGAAAGATGAGAACAAAAAGAAAGAGTGACATAGTTGAAATTAATCGAAAAAAAAATTTACCAAGGTAGGTGTGGTGTAAGAACAAATTGTTTTTGTACATATAGAGATGGTTTCAATTTGTGTATAGCTATGGCTTCCACAAATCTTAGCATGCGTCCCTGACTGTTTCTATACAAAACTTTGAAATCTGTTTGAACATTAATTTTGTGACCAATTCTATAATATGTTTAGCGGTAGCTGAAGAGGGTCATCTCCCATTGGCGTTTATGAAGGTTTCATACTCCATTTGTTCTTGAAGGCACTTAGATACATGTTCTTCCAACCCTGAATTGCATGGATCAATTACTCCCCCTTTTGTATGTGTGACCAAACATACATGTGAATTGGAAAGCATAATGAAATGTGTTTAGATTTGTGGTGAAGCATGCGTTTTGTTTCTTCCACAGTGATAAGATTAGTTACGTAATATGCTTTCCTTGTGGCTGATGTTAGCCTACGTCTCAAAATTATACTACTCAACTCTCCTCTGTATGGTAGAGTGATATCGACACTTTTTTTAAGAACCATGTAAAGAGTTAGCTTTAGAGCTATCTGAACTCTCCAATGGCTTACAAACTTCAACTTATATCTGTTTTCCATGAAGAATGATCGCCTATAAAAGCCGTTCATTATGTAACCATGCCCACAGCATGTATACTGTAACATTTATAGCATTGAGGGTCGTTCCTTATTTGTATTACTTAGTCGAAATGATGTACAAGTTATAGTCAGAAAAGAGTTAAAAGCTATAACATCCAGGTCTTTTGCAACTCAGAGTTTCAGAACATTGAGGGCAACACATAGGACATTTATTTGAGTGTAACTTTAATTAATTTACACAAACTTAGTAGGACAAAGATTAAAGAGCGACATAAAGCCAATCAACCCATATCTTAAGAAATACCCATGACGTTTTGTAGCTGTGTGAGCCGATCGGTCTCACACGTCAAAAATTACTTCAAAAGTTAAGACTATTTCTCACCATCACATAGTAATATCAGGATTCAGTTACGACATGTATTATTTTCCACAGAAATCACATTAAGATAAAAAAGAAAAAATAACCAAGGATGATCTTCTGAGCTATGAATTGCTGCAATTAATTTCGTGTGTTGAACATTTGAAAAAGCGGCATCAGAACCATCAGTTGCTTAGCTTGAGAAAGGGGTTAACAAGCACATAAATCTGTTGGAAAAAAATTGCCAGAGGTTAAAAAGTCTTTACTCACAAACCATAACTACTGGTTGCAGACTAAAAAACATGAAAGCACCTCTCAGTTGGCAATGTCTAAGCTCCTTCTCTTGACTTCGTTGAGGAAGGATAAAACCGATATAAGCATACTATAATGCCATCTTCAATAAAAAAGAATCATCGGTGAAGACTTAACCTACGCAGCTAGCTACGGCATGCAAGTCAAAGTCAAATAACAAACTGGAGCGTTCTATAACGATCATTATATCTTGAAAATACTCCGAAACAGGGTCTGCATCACGTAAAGAACAAGATAGTTATACTTAACGTTTTAGGCATGAATCTGGCTCATAGAAACAGAATGGCGTTGCGTACTTCTCGATTTAATGCCGTTAGCCTTTTATCAAGGAAATACTCGGCTGATAAGCACTTTATGAGAAAAAATCCGTGGCGTGTTTTGAGATGCACAGCATAACTTAAGAAAATTCAAATACCCAACCTAAAGTTATTAAACTTTGCCACCAAGTTAATAGTGCAAGTTTGGTAAACCTTCATTTTTGGAATTCTGATGTCTAGTTCTTGAGAATCGGTCCTTCTGTAGTAAAAAGGAAGGTCTTTTCTGCTTTCTTGCTTTTACTTCTTTCCTGGTGAGTGTTTTCTGTAGGTTTCCACTTCCACACTGTTGACCCCTCAAGTTGAAGTGCTGTAAGCTGCTGAGAAAATTAGTGATCTCATTGGTACTGTTGTGTGCCTAAGTGTCTGCAGTAAGTAAACAAATTATGTGGGGTAGTTGTTCTTGCGAAAGAGTGAAAGCAGGTGAAGTAATCATGCTAACAAGAGAAGTTAGATCAGAACATAATCCTATTATAAATAAAGGGAAGACGGTAGTGGGGATCTTAACAGGTGTTAGTGCTATTCATTTGGAAAGCAGATGGTCAGTCAGATCAGCGGCGTTCTGTTTGAGTAGTTAGTGAAGCATCAAACCTATTTTTAAAAGATTCTGCCGGTGGTCGGACATTAAATAACGTGCATACACCTAGATATTTATGATGTGCTATTTCGCCAGGACTGCATCTCAATCATCAGCATGTTGCCCATGATGTTCTTTGTTCACATGATTCACTTGGTGGATAATCTTATAAACCGTAATTGGATTGTCCATTTTTATGTAATAGATCAACGTGATCAAATCCGGCCAAGGGCTACAGCTCAGGATTTTCAGAGTCTGCTAAATGCATTCAAACCCCCAAGAGGTTTCAGAGTGAGCTCAAAGTGGTTCGTCGGTAGTGCCTTAGGGACACCTTGACTGAATACTAAATGAGATTGGAGCGCGCGCTTTGGAAACTGGAAGTGAATTTTTCCACGCTTTTGACATTTTTGCTTTTGTTGGATAATCCACATCAAGAGCTTTCATATAACCCTTGACTTGAAGTACTTAAGTCAGTGTTTGAAGTTTAATCATTTTTTGAGGCTTACGCTTGGTCTTTGTGTTGTCACAACTTAAGTCCCCTTGTCGGAATCTTGGCCGAGTACTTTAGTTAGTACACGACACGAGTAAATAACATGGTCAGAGATAAGCATGTTTGCGGTCGTCCCAGCTGTAAATTTCCTGTGGATGAAGGTATTCAGTGTGATGCATGTGGATGTTGGTCCCACAAAGTTTGTACAGGGTTGACACCAACTGTGTACGAGCATCGCAGTAAACCAGCCTCCCCCTGGTTGTGTGATTTCTGCTGCAAGCCATTGCCGACCCTCATCCAGGAAGCTGTTGAAAATTTACTTGTCAAAAAACAGCTATGTGGAAATGATAGCTGTCATTCTAATGCGGTATCAGATGATGACACTGCAAGTGTAATCGTTAATATATCTGACACAGGATTTCTCACTGGACTAATGGATGCTGGTGATCCAGTTGGTGAAATTACACCAGTCCTGAAGCGTACTTGATGCAAGAGAAAGCCAAGGGCAAATGGTACACCAACTATAATGCCTGAGGATTCACCGAAAGCCTGCATCTCTGGTAACAGCGTTGACTCTGTAAAAGTGGTCAACAAATCTACAGGGATTTCTCCAAGAAAGCATCCGAAGAGACTGCCAAAGGTTATCACGGAAGAAACTGAGCTTATGAAACCTATTGAGAAGGTTTCAAAGGCAGTCAACACACAACTCAAGGATTCCACTCCAGTGCCCAGTTTAACCTTCTGGAATGTTGAGGAGTCACTAGACAAAGATGCCTCAATACGTCACGGCCATGACCTGCAACTAGTCGAGTCGGCCATCAGACGTATTCTACCTGAAAAGTCTAAAGGGGTACACATCTCCAAAGTAGTTAGGTTAGGTAAGAAAATGGACGAAAAACCTGATGAGACGAGAGTTTTAAAGGTTGTTTTAGGCAACAAGGGGGAAGTGAATGTACTCTTGAGTAACGCATCCAAACTATGAAATTTGGATATCCTCATCCGACCTGACTGGCCCCTCGAGGACCGCATAAAAAGAAGAGAAGCTGTTGCCGAACTTAAGGCTCGACAGGCTAATGGTGAAAATGATCTTAAAATAGTGGGTTTTCGGGTTGTGAGTTCTTGAAAGCGAGTGCTTCGAAGGTCTAAATGGGTGGGTCATGGAACTCCTTCAGCACAATGAAAGTTATCTACACTAACGTTCGCAGTATTAGAAGCAAAATGATAGACCTCGAGAATCTAATCTGCGAGCTAGGTCCTGACGTAGTAGCCCTTAGTGAAACCTGGTTGATCAAGGATCTAGATTTTACGCCACTCCACAAAGGGTATTACTGTGTAAACTTGGATAGGGTTGTGGGTCGCAAAGGTGGCAGCACACTTCTCTACGTCCGGGGCGACGTCTACATGCGATTAGTCAGGCCCGAAGCACATGAGTGCGGGACCTCTGAAGTGCCCAGCTGCGAGCTGAAGTCAAATCAATGTTCCTGTACTATCTGAGTCATTTACCGTAGTCCATCCTGCCTTGCAAATGAATTCGTACTAACCCATGAACGTAACTGGAGTAGAAGCGATAGATGCCTAGTAGTTGGGGATCTGAATGCTCCACACATAAACTGGACGGAGCTAAACGTCTCACCACCAGGTGGTTCCTTCGAAAATGACTTACTCTTGATGGTCTTAGAATCTGCTTTAGTTCAAAACGTAACATGTGCAACACGTTACGATATTGAACACAAAACCATCGTTATAAGATTTAGTTTTAACCCATCAATGTGAAGACATCCTGGATCTACGATACTTCCCTTCATTAGCTAACAGCGACCATGAAGTACTAACTTTTGGTTTTAGGACTAATACGTTTGATAATGACACTGTCTCCAGTAGAACTAATGTATGGCGTGCGGACATGTCAAGTATAAGGGATCGCGCAATCAGTAACGATTGGACTGTCGACAAGGACTCATAAATTGAGAATACATGCAATGGGCAAAGAAGTCTATTTGAGGAGGTAACGACGTCATTTATCCAATATTCGACTCCAAGACCATCCTCACATCGCCCGCTGTGGTTTAATAAAGACATTAAGAAACTGTCAAAGCGGAAGGAACGCTTATGGGACTTGTTTCCAGAAACTAGACCGGAAACATTTAAAACTGAGTACTGTGAAGTCCGTAATCTCTGCAAGACTTTGATTACACGGTCTCGAACGTCCTACGAGAAGCAGCTTGTGAGGGACTGCCAAAATTGTCCCGAAAGACTGTTCGCATTCGTCAGAAGGAGGACTAAAAGAAAGGGCGGAATCCTCTCCCTGGCAACGGATGAGAAGTCCGATAGTCTGGCGAAATCTAATCTGTCCAAAGCTGAGTGTCTCTCTGATTACTTTAGTGAAGTCTTCTCTGTAGATCATGACGATGAAGTGCTAAATAGTGGTGTCAGCACTGTTCCACTAATAGATACGGTGTTCACAACAAAGGAAAGAGTCTCACAGTTGCTCATTAACCTCAGACCTGGAAAATCCCCAGATCCCGATGAGTTGCATCCCAGACTTCTATCATCGCTAGCAGACATCATTGCTGAGCCAGTCGCGGATCATTTCAACGTGTCCCTTACCCAGACTCAACTCCCCAGAGACTGGAAAGACGCAATGATCGGCCCAGTCTTTAAGACCGGTAGTCGCCATTTGGTGTCTAACTATCGTCCTGTGAGTCTAACTAGCATAGTTGTTAATATTTTAGAAAAAATAATTCGTGACAGGGTACTTAAACTTGTGGAATCAAGCAATCTTTGGGCACCACAGTAACATGGTTTTCGTACTGAACACTCCTGTTTAACTAACCTCCTTATCGCAAGAGAGGAATGGGTTGCAGCCCGTGACTGAAAGCTGCCAATAGATGTCGTGTATATGGACTTCAGTAAGGAATTCGACAAAATGTCGCATGTGTAATTACTAGGAAAGCTCTCCTCCTTCGGGTTTGGTACTTTACTGCAAGCCTGGATTAAGGACTTTCTATACGATAGAAGGCAAACAGTAAAAGTAAATGGGACACTATTCGGGTGAAAACCTGGGATGCGTGGAGTTGCTCAAGGAAGAATCCTAAGTAAACTATTTTTTTCTTGCATATGAACGAATTGCCAAATATGCTCAACTCTTTGAAACTGTAATTTGCTGATGATGTAAAGATTGGGAGAGCCATACACAGTGATGCAGATAGGTATGCACTTCGGGCGGATTCATACGAACTAGTAGGTCGGTCCAAACGTTTGTGCTTGGGAATCAGCCCTGACAAAAGTGCAATAATGCACATTGGTCATAGCAATTGTTTCCAGTATTCCGTTGATGGTACACCACTACTTCCAGTCCTTGAAATAAAAGACTTGGGTGTCATCATTAGTCACGATTTGAAAACCTTGGCAAGCTGCAATGCAGCTGCAGCAAAGGGCTTCCGTATATTTTGAACCCTCTACAGAGCATTCAATTTTTTTGATGAGGACATGTTTGGAATACTCTACTCTACTTACTTTAGACCTCACTTGGAATACTGCATTTGGGCGGCCAGCCCATGCCTAAAAAAGGATGCTGACGGACTCGAGCGTGTTCAAAGGGTAGGTACTAAGCTTGTGGCAGGCCTTTCGAACCTGTCCTATGAAGAGCGACTAGATCAGCTAGATTTATTCCCACTGTCTAACCGTAGAAGACGGGTGATCTCGTACTGGCATTTCGTATTCTTAATAGTGACTTCCGTGCTGATATGTCCTACTTTTTCTCCCTTGCTAGAACTGACTATCTCCAAGGACATCACAAGAAAATTCAAAAACCGCGATCGAATCAACTTAGCGTGAGTCTGCGTTTCTCCCATCGTGTTGTCAACGGCTGGAACTCCTTACCTCAGCAAGTAGTATCAGTAGTATCACCTTCTTTCAACGCGTTCAAGGGGAAACTTGATCTTCACAGAGATATCCTCTGCAAGGATTAACACAGGCCAACTGGCCTACTATCCTTATAACTGAAACTGAGATATTACTTCTAGACAGAATAGCACTTACAATATTCCAGTCACCACCAGTGAGAATACAATAAGCAAAATTTATAATGATCATATAGTGAACATGATTGGAAATGCATCGCATACAAAAATTATTTAAAAGCCAAGACGAAATTTTGTAGTGTATTAATTTTTCCAAGATGTATATATAGTATGCCCTTTAATCAAAAAACACCACCAAAGAAAAAATCTACATCGATGAAAATAATAAATGTGCAACTGAATCGATCGAAACAGTATCTTATCAACCACTTCCTTGAAACGCCGAAGTCTTCCACGAAAACACCCTACCATCTCACAAGATACGCCTCTAATACCCAGAATCTCCAATATCCAATATCCAATATTGATAGTGCGAGCGTAGAAAACTGGTAGTTTTTGATCTCTCGCGTCTAGTTCTTAGGGCTTGGTTCCAGTTGTTCGGTTCACTCCTGCAGTGGACGAGGAAATCCCCTCTGCTTTCTTGCTTTTAGCTTCGGTGAGGTGGGTGTTTTGTGGATCGGTAAGTTGTATTTTGTAGAGTGATTGGGGAGCTACGGGTTGCTGGGAAGTTTAGGGAACTGCCGTGACTCCTGTCTGTGTAGGTACCTGGAAAGAATAGTAAGATAGTGGTGAAAGAATGAAAAGAGAAGAAAGAAGAAAAAATAATAATATGGGGAAGAGAAAAGGGAAGGAGAAGAAAAGGAGGGGTGAAAAGGAGAAATAAGAACAAAAGAAAAGTATTTGGGAATTGCCCGAATGGTCGCGTGGGTTTGGTTCCTACAGAAGAATTAGTAGGCAGTGTGGGTGTATTAAGGAGAGAGATAGTGAGTGGTAGTTAGGAGGGAGTTGGGGGCCAGTGAGGTTGGTGACCACCTGAGTACGTCCTTGGTAGTCCATGCGAGGTGACATAACTGTCTAATCGTCTCTTGAATGAGTCAACTGAAGGAGCTATAATGATGTGTCGCGGTAAGGCATTACATATAGCACATACTCTTAGGGAGAAAAATTTGGACCTGAGTATGTGGTTGGCTATCTTAATGGGGTTTCCTCGTGAAGATCGTTGAGTTGTAGGCAAAATTGATTTGTTTGCATGGTCTGCCTGATGGGCGATCTCGTATGCCATAATGAGGTCACCCCTTTTCCTGCGACAACCCAAGGTAAATAGGTTTAGGTGTTTAAGTCTTTCAGGATACGTCTTTCCCCTTAGCCCCACAACTGATTTTGTTGCAGTTCTTTGTATTCTTTCAAGGAGATTAGAGTCTCTCTTGAGTGGTGGAGGAGCCACCGTATTGACGACCTCTAGGTGCGGCCGCACGTAGGATTTGAGAATGGTGAGGAAGAGTTCGGGAGTGAGGGCGCCAAGCTGTCTACGCAGAAAGTGTAGGATGCCGTTCGCTCTGGTTGTCATACCTTTGTAGTTGGAGCTGGTGTCCAAGGTGTCGGAGAAGTTGAGCCCCAAATCTTTCTCCATGGACACTGGTGATAGCACGGTTGCTCAACAGGTACTGGAAGTCGGTCGTACTTGCTCCATTTTTACTGATGTGCATTACTTTGCACTTTTCCAGGTTTAAGCTCAGGCCATTTTCCGACGACCAGGGCTGCTAGGGCATTTCTGTCCCCTCCCTTGAGGGTGGGTGACAAGACGGCGCTCTTCCATTCTTTAGGGAGTTTGCACGAGTCTGTTGAGCGCTCAAAGAGGTTGCGAAGTGGTTTAGTAAGCACCTCGGCGCAGTTTTTCAGAACCACTGGTTTCAGGTTATCGCAGCCAGGGGACTTGCCCGGACGTAGCCTAGATAGCTTCTCGAACACCTTTTTCTCTGTAATAGAGACGTGACAGAGGTATTCGTTATTTGCGACCTGGTCGGTGTCGTAGCGAGTCGGTGTGGATCTTGTGTCAGTGCTGAGTTGGGCTTGGAAGTGTGAGCTCAAAAGCTCGGCAATCTCTAGACTGCTTAGTACACTCCCGTCATGGCCTGTGACAAGATTCACTCCCTTACTGGTCGACTTTCTTCTCGACATGAAGCGGTACAGTTTTTGGGATTGCTTTGTAACCTCGCTGCCAAGTTTGTTTGGTAGGAAAATCTGTCGTTACGCACTCTAATGTTACAGAGATTGCGAATCCTTTTGTAGTTCAAGAAGTCAGACTCCCTGCGTGATGTACGCCACTTGAACCAAGCCTGCTTCTTGCTCCGGATAAGCCTCTCTGTCCCACGCTTTAACCATGAGGTTCTCATTGATTGTCTGTGTGTTACTTCTGGTACACTGTGACTGATGGCCCCAGTGATTATTTTCTTCACCTCCAACCAGTGTTCATCTATTGTGAGATGAGTCCAGTCCACTGGCCATGATGCATTCATGAGGTAGTCCCTCATGGTCTCATAGTTGGCCTTGCTGTAGCAAGGGAAGGTGTTGGGCGTCTCCAGTTGCAGAGCCTCCCTAGTTATCATGGAGAAGGTGATTACAGCGTGGTCACTGAGGCCAAGGGGAGGTTGGATGCAAACATCCTCAATGAGAAGTTCATCGTTCGTCAGAACGTAGTCAAGGCGCGATGCGTTTCCGTTAGGTCCCCAGCGTGTAGCATCACCCACTTTCTCTGAGAGGCCAGCAGTCTTAATTGCATCCTTCAGCTTCTGATTGAAGGATCTGATGCGTCTCCCTTCCGTCTCGAAGAGGATGGACGGGGTGTTGAAGTCGCCGGCAATGACTACGGAATCGTAATTTGCAGAGGAAGTCGTTAAGATAGCCTTGATGATCATTTCCTTATGTGTAGGGGAGCTGGTGGGGGACCGATATATGACTCCGAGCAGGTATTTGGTACTGTGGAGAGTGAAGTAGCACCATAGAGACTCTGGGAGCTGGGTTAAGGCCGTATCGCTAACCATCCTTGCCTTTAAACAGGAGTTTACGTAGATAGCCACTCCCCCTCCTGCTCTATGTTCCCTGTCCCTGCGGAAGAGTTCCATGCCAGTAACATGCATCTCTTCGTCGGAGATGTCTGGCGAGAGCCAGGATTCGGTGATGAATATGATGTCGGAGTGCTGATGTTCACGCAGCGTCCTCATTTCTGCTACCTTCCCTCTTAGCCCCCTAACGTTGCTGTACATACATATTAGAGTGTGCCTGATGAGAGGGGAGGTCTGGTTGTGTATTTTCGCAGGATGAGCGCTTACGTGGTTGGGTCTAGCCTCGCCAGTCCTCATAGGACTGGCATTGTTCCGTTTTTTGTGTTTTGTTCTTAACTTGGGTGGGGGCTGTGGCAGTGGTGGCTTCTTTACTTGATGTATCTAACTCACTGGTCAGCGCCTGTGTGACGACCACTGACTCCAGAGGTCTTGGTGGTTGCCGTCTCTCCTCTTGCCTTGTGGGTCTAGGCTTACTTTCACATATACGTATTGAGCCACCCATGCGATCTTCGCATTATACCATGCGTGTAGAACGTCTGTGAGGGAGGCATATGAGTCGAACTGGACGGCGAGTAGTCTGGGATTGGGTATGGTCTTCAGGTGCGCTGGCCTTGGCAGTCTACTGACGCTGTTGGCCGGTATACTGTTGAGACCAACTTTGGTTGAGAGCCATTGCCATTGTTGGACGTCGTGAAAGTACCGATCTTTGACCGAGGTCACTTGGCAATTCTGGAATCCCATGTACAACTATAGTGTTGTTTCTGTTGGGATTTCCAACCGCTGACTTTCTCTCCTCCTCTCTTATTGACCATGGCTTGTCAGGCCTGGCCCGAATTTTACAGGCATTAACAACGTCCGGTTGTCGCGAGAGAGGAGTGTGTCTTCAGCCTCTTTGGCGGTATTTAGGGACACACGTAAAGGGGGTGGCTTATCTCGGGGTGCACGGCTTCCTCGAGAAAGGCGACACAAAGTTGCAGGGAGGGGAGGGAGTCCCAGCATCTGACAGTAGTCGGTCCACATTCGGCTGTCAAATTGTTCCCTCTCGACCAACAATGAGTCTGTCGATACATCGACGTTGAACAAAATGATCGAGTTGGTCCTCCTGTGACCTGGGTTCGTTGTGGGTGGCACGCCCGACTTCCCAATGGGTTTGAGTAATTCCACTGGTTGTTTCTCAGTCACGGTGTGTGGGGTGTTTGGAATGGGTTTCGTAGAGGCTTCGGCGGTCGATGTCTTTGGCCATGCGCTTGACGTCCCCTGGGGCCGGGTAGGGGTATGGAGACTTGACCTAATATGGTCCCCACGCGAGGTGGCGTGCCCACAGCTGGAGCTCTAGGTCTGTTTCCAGGTCTCTCTGTGTTATCCTTTGGTGTTAACCCTACTTTATTCGAGGATGCTGGTAGCTTTTGCGTGGCGGAGAGCATCTCCTTCAGGCTTTCTGTGCGGAGTGCGGGCATTTTCCTGCACTCTGGACAGATGTACCAGAACCACTTGCATGGTTGTCTCTTCATCAGCTTATAGTATTGTCGGGGGACTTTGGTATCGCAGTGGCAATGCGCCCATCGTTGACATAGGTTGCATGCAAATGCCTCATCGACTACCGAAACAACTTTGGTGCAAACACTGCAGCCATCGGGTGTCGTAATACAGCCTTCCTTCCATGAATAAGGTGCTACGGATTGTGGCGAACTGCTTGTGGCTGCCTTGTTCTGAAGCCTTTTACGTCGTCTTCTATTTCAGGCATGGTATGATCCTTGCTCAAGATAGGACTAGTTTGTGACGGGCTAGTGCTACTCTGTGTCACCTGTCTGATGGCTACTGGAATTCTAGAAACATGGGTTGGCCACTTCTTTAGAAGTTCGGTGTTCTGCCCTACCTCTGTTTGTCTTCTAGTACAGACTAGTGTGTTGTTTAGGGTGTTATTGGCCGTTTTTGTGCACGACCGCGTTATCCGTGTCAAAGCTTCAGACCTAGCGTTTTGGGCAGACATGTCGCTATGATATAAACTTCTTGGGAAAACAAGTAGTTAACAACAATAAGAGGGTTGAAGACTGAATGCAGCAAAAGGACAGAATAGAAAAGGGAAGATAATTTATGTTGGCTCACCTTCAGACACTTGTCACTTGATCCTCTGCTCTTGACCAACGAGTTTAACCGTAAGCTCCAGATGCGTATGTATAACCAGGAAAGATATTTCCTGGGGAATGACCTCCGAGGAGAACCGAGAGCTAAGGCAGTTTGGCAGTTGAAACGCCCAAGAACCACTGACAGGAGGTGGACCGGTTGGTTCAAAGGAATAATAATGCCAATTTTCAACTGTTGAGAAGTGAGCTGACGAATACGCAGGGGTGAGGTGCGTGGACGGACAGAAGTGCTGCAAACGTTCGATCTTTTTAGATTGAGTATTGCAAGTGGGAGTTTTTCAATGTG